CGGCCTGCCACACCGGGCTGTGCGACGAGCTTCCCCCGGCCGGATATGCGGGACGGCGGAGGGAGCAGCAGGGCAGAAGCGGCTCCAGCCCGGGCTCACCAGGTCCTTGAAGCTCCGTGGCTCTTCCGCCGCCGCCGCCGGCTCCGGCTCTGGCTCCGCCGCTCGCCCTTCCTCGCCTCCTGCCGCCATTTTGCACCGTCCCCGCCTGAGGCAGCGCAGAGCACTCTGGGAGCTGTAGTCCCGCCTCCCCTCCCTTAGGGGCGTTACGGGATTTGTAGTTCGGAGGAAACAGCCAATCGGAGCGGGCGGGGCGGGGCTCGAGGGGCCGCGCGCGGCGGCCGTTACCCGCCGGGGCGGTCGCTATGGCCGCGGCTGTGGGCGGCCGGCGCCGGGCGGGCCGCGCTGCGATGGCGGTCGCGCTGCCGTGAGGTACGGGCCGACTCGTCTGCCTGAGGGCAGAAGGCGTCTTCTGCGCCCGGGGTCCTTCAGGGCGCAGCCCTCCGGGCAGCGGGTGTGACGCTCGGGGCACCGAGTGCCGTCCTTGTCTCCTCTCCTGAGGTAAAGGAGCTGCTGCGTCTGTGCGAACACCCTGGCTGTGCGCAAGGTTGTCGAGCAGCACGCTTGAGGAGGCCTCTCCTCTAAATGTGTTCAAGGCTTGTTTTCTTCAGACTTAATTGGGCTTCTGCACGGGGAGGGGGGTAATTTACGTGGCGAGTGCTGTGCTTGGCTAAATTAGAAACCGTGGGCGGATTTTCGCTGAACTCCAGAGAGCCCTGCAGGGAAGGGGTTGTTATGGTTGTTATGGCCGCCTGTATTGGGATAAGAGCACACAGAACTGGCTGTGTGAAAACCTGCCTGCTTGGCATTAACCGCAAGTGGCTAAGCCTCTGGCCTGCAGCTCAGCATTTACACTGCTTAGGCAGCGTGTGTGGTGGCATTCTGTATTCATAAATTCTACGGTTGTGAAAGAACAAGAGAAAATGAGCTAGCCAGGCACAAAAAAAATCAGAACATATATAAAGTTACATATATAATACATATAAAGGGCAAATTAGCTTCTTCAGAAGCGCTGGTATGAAACATTTTGACCTGCTAGTGAAGGGAAAAAAAGAAGAGAACTGTCATTGTTCCACCTTGTTTTCCTGTTTATGGTAATTGCCAATGTGCAACTTTGAAGTCCCAGAAATACGTAAAATAAACTGAACTGTGGCAACTCACAGCATGAAATAAGAGAATAGGGGATGGGTATGGATGCAAACACTCCCCCAGCTCTCTTGATTGCTGCTGTTGTGACTCAGGCAGGCAGCCTGCAAGCGCACAGTGAGAAGTGAAAATGGTGATGGATTTAGTGCCCTCTGAGGGAGAGCAGCATCAAAATATCATGTCACGAAGGTAGTTCCTGAACTCATTGGTTTCCATCTGGTCTGGGTGTGGCCTCTCTGATTTGTAGTCCCAATGCTGACTGCAGGAGGGCAACCTTACAGCTAGGTGAACTTCCTTTGTTTTAGGTAAAAGGATGCTAACCTATCCAAGAGCCTGGGCTTTGAAAGGATAGCAGAGCTGACTGCAAAATGGAACTCATGACTGCATTTCTGAGCAGACCTCCCTTTCCCTTGCTGTTTGGGAAGCCTGGCTGGGTGTGTTCACAGTGGAAATGCTGACGTACCTGAGCATCTGTCACTGGATTCCAAGTGTGCCATTTCCGCTGCTTCCAGAACAATGAGGAAAGTGAGAGGAAATCCGAACAAACTCTCTGCGTGACAGGGAAAGGAGAGGAAACCTGAAACAATTCACTGGGCAGCAGTGGAAATGAAACTGCTGCATCCCACTGTGCTCAGCAGCAGTGATTTTAAAATAAGAAATTAAAAAAAAAAAAGGCAACAACAAAAAAAACCCCACAACAAGAAACACCCAATGTAGATGCTAGTGATGACCATATGTTTCAAAAATTACAGCAGTCTGAGCCATGAGCTTGCTATATATCATTAGTACTAAAGGTTAAGCCTGGCCAGCACTTAGACATGAACCCTTGTACGAGTCACTGGGATGCCTCTGGAAATGGAGTCAGGGATGTGACAGGACGTCACTGCTTGTGATTCTTTGTTGAACTCATTGCCCATATAATATGGTAGGTGCTGTTTTTGGTGGCGAGCAGGGTGGAGCAATTCTATTCTGGTGAAATTCCAGTTTGGGTAAGTCCCTTTTGTCAGTAGATGTATTTGAATAAAAGTTCCCTCCTGTTCTAAAATGCTGTTGTGAACTCTCATATATAGTAAAACAAGTACCTCTTCTAAATGGCGATTCTCTTTCTGTGTGTTTCAGCACAGGGCACTGGAGATTATACTGGATTTAGAAATTTTCACTCCAGGGCTTCTAGACTTGGCTTTTGAACAAATACATTCCTAGCCCTACTGCATGTTACAAGCTCAGTCTTAGGGGGGACAGGGTGGGAGCATCCGTAGTGGATGAATTTTAGTACAGGTATAATGCCAACTATTTCGTAAGGGCTGCGTAATAAGACAAGATAGACAGTGTGTATAGTAGGTTGCAGTTAATGGTAAATGGTCCTGTCTCCCCACTGGGATGCCCAGAGAGAGGCTATTGGGATATCCTGACTCCCTGACTGCACTCGGGCTCCTTTGTCATCAACACCTTTTGTTATGCTTTCAAAACATACTATGGCACTTCATGATAAAATGGTGCTTGCATTCCTGCTTCATTGTTGAATCATTCCTCCCTGCAGCGGTTTCAATAAAAGGGGAGTAAAAATGGCATCAGGAGGCCAGGCTTCATAACTTGCAGCCCAGGCTAAACATCAAATCACACACGTACCCTTCTCCCCCTGCTGCCTAGCTACCAAAGGAAGGTTTCCACCAGCACGTCTACTACTTTGAAGGGTAAATAACATAACTGCTAGCAAAAAAAGCTGCTTATTAAAGACACTTCCCCCAAATGTTGCTTGTGACTCTAAGGAGTCACAATATTGGAACTAAGCCAATACCAATACTGGAGTAGGTGAACCCCTGTCCCAGCACGGGTCACTTGCTTCTGGTGCTTTCTTGGTACCAGCTCTAGTGCTCATCTGACCTAGCAGTGAGCTGTTTCAGGGAGCAAAAGGAGTAAGAAATGAATCTTGCCCCCAAACATGATAGATTTCTGCCGGCACAGCTCCCAAAGCTGGTTCCCCAGGGTATCACATGAGATCCAGTGCTGACCGTGTGGGAGGAGACAGGATGGCATGCCAGGAGCTGGGTGAGGAGGATCCGACCGCCTCCTGCCCTGTCTGCTAGCTGCTAGATCAAGTGTAGCTGAGGCGTGAGAGTGCAGACTTAAATTCACAGGACTACCTGGCTTAGAAGGTGTCCAATAGCACTGAATGGGTTTTGGAGCAAACTACGTCACACAGCTCCTCTGTCTTGTGTAGGATTACAGATCTTCCCGTCTGTGGGCCCCACTTGCTGCCTGAGCCTCCTTTTGCATTCCTAGGAAACAAACCTGGAGCAGGGAGTGGCTGAGACCTGGCCAGGAGTGTGTGGTACCTTGGACTCAATTACACTCGCACAGCAGCACTGTGCAACAGTCCAAATCCTGACTTCAAGTGAAGGGTTAGCCTAGGGAAAAACAGAACAGAAGAAGGATTTTTTGCCTGTGTGGCTGAAACTGGAAGCAAAAGTATCTGATTTGTCCCCAGCTGCTGAAACAGTGGCTGTGATTGCAGCACAGGACTGTGCTGAGCACAGCAAACCAGGCCTCGTGAAGCTCTAAGCTATCAAATTCAGATCCTTCTGCCAGTCGGATTAGTCTGTTCAGAGCTGTTGTTGTTCCTGTGATGTTCCCTGTGTGTGGACGTGTGGACGAAGCTGCATTGCTAGAAAACTGGGAGGAGGTAGGAGAAGTACATGTTACATAATTTTCTCTGTGATGATAAAACCAGCCATCTCAGATCATGGTAAAGTTCTTACTGATCTAGTGGAGTTAGCTGGTGATATGCTGGAGCACTAGGAAAAATTTGGATCGTGTCTGCCTTTGCATAGTGTGCAGTTCACACTCCAAAACCACACTTATGTGCTCACACATATGCACCTCAGTGTTTGCGTGTCAGAGACCAACATCCACAGTGTACATGGGCTAATATGCACATCAGGGTATGCACTCACACAGACATAAATGCATACACTCATACACGAATGCCAGCTGTGTGGCATGGAGCTGGTGACCTCACTTTTCATTCTTGCCTTCTGAACATGTCCAGCTGCTCGTATTGATTCCCTGGCTCCAGTGCCTGGACCATGAAATCGAGGTGGGTGAGCCAGGGGGCAAGAATGTGATCACATGCAGGTGTGCAGAGAGACACTGACACAAAAGTGCTTCATATTCATTTAATCGAACCAGAAGTGTACTTGTTCATTTCTGGCAAACAGGCATGGGCATTACAAGCATCTGAGTCATGCTGTAAGGGACCAAAGCTTTTGTTCTTCTTATGTGTAAGAACAAATCTTGATGTTATGAGAGGAAGAGACAAAAAGGACAAGGATTCAAGCTTCGTGGAGTGTTGCCCTTCCTAAGAGTTTGCTCAGTGTTACAGAATTACAGAGTGGGTTTTTCTGATCATCTTGATTCACGCATCTGCAGGGAAGCTTCCCTTATCCGTTGGGGCATGCTTGTGGAGGTGGAATTATCCCTGCATTCACTCCTCTAGTTGTCTCAAGTTAGTTTCTGGGGTCTCTTCTTTGTACCTCTTCCAGGTACCGACATGATCCCTGTCATCACAGTACTTGAGAACTTTTCAATATTTGTCCCAGAAACATCCTTGTGAGGTAGGGAAATGCCACTATCCCCATTTTAGACAGAGAACTGAGGCACTGAGGGGTCAAAAATCACAAAGGACATAGTTAACAGAACAGTCACTTGAAACAGGGTCCCAGTTTTTCTGCTTCATAAGTGCTCTGCCACTGAATCATCCTACTCCTCTGCACCCCTCTTGAGTATTAGTACCAGTATATATTTTGCTGACATGAAGCCTTCCCCGGGAAGCATTGCTAGGAGTATGTGTAGCTCTCCATGAGTGCTGCCTCCTCCCTCACAAACTACTGTGGGTCTCACCAACTGCTCAACTGCATGGAGAGCGGCACTTCCACCTCTCAGATATGCTCCCATCACAGCTGGGCTCCAGCTCAGACCAGTAACACCAACCTAC